CACTCATTCCAGGATTTGAACTTCATATCTCCGATGTGGAGGTTCAAATTCTTAACCACTGGAATGTCTCTAGAAGGACTACCCACTAGAATAGTCAAAATAATAATATTTCTATTTCAATTTGCAGATTTTGATGATCTGAGCTGTGAGATGATTTTTGGTCAGGATCCCCCAGCATCAATAGATGATCCAGCACTCAAGCAACCATGCTACAAATCATGTAAAAATTTTAAACTGAGCTTTTTACCTGCATCTCTGTATTTGTATATCTTCCTTAACACCTTCCTACATCATTGGATGCCAATTTTCATGAGTGCTAAATATACAATAGAAGGTATCAACACCAAAAATCATGTTAACAAATAAGATATCCATGTGAATGTGAGAAATAACTTTTCCTATATGTTTCTTGCAGGCAAAGAAAAAAGAAAACACAGTACAAAGTGCTGCAGTTAATGCAGAGGGATATCAAGGGATATTCATTTTCAACAAGATCCTCCCTATTGTTTATGTAACAAAGGGAAATGACCAACCAATTTGTTTCATGAATCATTGTAATTATTAGTGAAGTTACCCTGTTTGTTTTCATTACCACCACTGCTACATTTCTGCCACCAAAAGTACATTTTCATCATGTATTCACCACTCTGGAGAAAGTATTCACCATGGCAAAAAAATGGTTTAGCAAGCTCTACAAGCATTGAATGGATAATCTAGTGATTTCTTTGGGACCTTTATGGGGGATTTGACCAAGATAATACCATTCATACCGCTCATGATGCTAATGACCCAGCCAACTAGCCTTCCTAAGAGGACAATTGATTTGACTGGAGACTCAATGTAGGCTTTAAGGTGAGCAGAAGTGGACCGCATGTCTCCCACCATTTGTGTGCTGTGAGGTGGGAAAGACGAGATTCTTCTGCTGTCATTTCTGTCCCATTTATAGGGCAACTGATCTGTTGACCCATTTTCAGCTGAATTTTTCACCTAAGAAATTCAGATGAAAGTTTATTCCATTCACAATGCCTTGGTGTATTTTGGTAATCAAATATGAGAAAGCCTGTGCATGTGGCAGGCAAAACGCACAGAAGACTAGAGAGGCTAACTGTTCAATTCAACGAAGACTGTATTCTGAATAGTGCTAGCACAGGTCAAGCATCAAGAACCAATGAATAAGCTGATGGCTAACACACACCAACCTGGTGTAAAACATAAAATGATGAAAAGTTGTGCATTCTATTAGGTGTCCGTATTTTAACTGTTCTTCATATAGCTAATGATGATATGTTTCCTCATACCAAATTCACATCTGGACATACACAATCATTCTTCCTGTAATAAACTCTTTTGTTTCTAAAGGAAAAAAAAAAAAAAAAGAATAAAAGAAAGAAATGATAAGCATGCGAAAAATTATTTAAGCATGAATTATACTGAACTGCAAAACACGAGACTCGTAAACATATATACACATGTTGTAAAGTATAACCTCTGTATCATGGCAAACTCCAATGTCTCAACCATCAATGCAGTCAAATTAAAGGATAAAATAACATTAAAAAAAAAAAAAAACCTAATTTTGCTTAGTGAGATTTCCAATACATCTGTAAGTCTTTGATTTTTCCTCCTTTCCAGAAATTTTCATTCTAAATTTTTCTTTACAAGATTTGTTCAATTTCTCCAACAAGAATAGGGAAATGAATTGCAGAATGAAGATAAGCTTGAAATAAGATGCAAAGAGAGGAATATACAGATTGGTTTTCCCTCATTTTCTTATTCGATCTACAATTTCAATTCACCATTCCTAACAACTAAATTATAAAATATATGAGGCGAAAACAAAAGACTATTAGCTAATTCCGCAGCAAAATCATGGAATCCTGACTAGATATACAAAGCATTTCGATTTCAAAACAAATAAAAAGAAAGCGAAATGCATTATAGTCGAGCAAATCACACATTGAAATGCAGAGAATGAACGTCTACCGGAAATGGACGAGAGAACGAGAAGACTCACCTGAATGCTTGAAATCTGAAAGATCGATTCCAAAGTTCCGGCGTCGTAGCAGGCGGTGGTTGGGGAACAGGAGATGGAGGGAGAGGGAAGCAGGGAATTAATGGAATGAAGGCCCTGGCCCAGCCACCCATGTTAGGAGAAATGGGCCACAAGGCCTTTAGAAGAAAAGGGAAAAAACTGGGGGATAGATCCAGGCCCACACCCATACATGGAATTTTTGCTAAGTTGGATGTTATCTGTTCTTGATCCCCACAGCTTAACCTCTCCTTTCCTTTGTTTGGATTCTACAAATTGCATTAGAATTTAGAAATAGATATGCAAAAAACATTAAGTAATGTTAGTTATGGGAGTCCAACTACTGGCTGTTACTAATGTTCATAATTGCAAGGGAAAAAGGGAAAATCTTGTGGAGATTGAAATTGAACTCTCTTTTCCTATGTTTATTTAAAAGTAATGCAGACGAAATTAAGATTAGATTAGTGTTGATTTGACAATGAATTCTTGACCCAGTGCTTGCAACTGGAGTGTTTGATCTAGCCCCTAAATTATATATTCCTTAAATAAATGAAGTATCAATAAATCACTTTTTAATTCAGTAATAAAAGTGATAAAACTAGTTTGTGACATGAATATATATATATACATATATATATATATTATTTATGTAGAGTTTAGGGATTAAATTCTAAACTTATAGCTAAAAGTATAAATAACTCTATTATCATATCACAAGGCTGATGGTATCAATTTGTGACATGATATAGGTCATTAGTTTCAATGTAGACAAAAATTCAATCCCTTATAAACATAGGATATTAAATGGACCAATAAAGTCTTCACTTTACTAAGCCTATGGTAAACTGAAAATGCCATGTAAGCCCCAACATGGGCTCTTCTATGACTTCTTGTTCATCAAGCCAAAAAAGGCTTGGTAATTTTCTCTCTCTTAATTTGCTTGAGGTAGTTTGTCTTATAGTTTTAATCAATTACTAAAAGATAAGGCAAAGGAAAAATTGGGTTTCATCTTAGTGCTATTTCCTTCTTGTAGGAGTTGTCAGGTATATCATGCATTTTCAATTAATTTGCGGGACCAGAGTTTTTGCAGCTGGAAACTGTCTCCATGCTGAAAGGAAATGTCATGAAATGGCCCCTCAAGAGTAATTGTCCAACATCAAGCAAATGATGATTGCGGTCATGGCATCCCATCATTTTATTAAAAGCCACATAATTCCTTCTCTCTCCTTTTTTTTTTTTTTTTTAAATTAATCTTAAATTATATAATAAAAACTAACTCTCTTTCACTCTTGAAACATATATTATCTGTATGTTATGTTATGTGAGTTAAATTTAAAATTTTTTAGTTTAACAAAAAAAATTACCATTAATTTACTTAAGTTATTAGTCATAATTTTTTTAGTTAGATAATTAAAATTAACTTATAATTAATAAAATAGTTAATATTTAATATTATCCATATACCATGTGAGTTAAATTTAAGATCTCTTAGTTCAACAAAAAAAATTACTAATAATTTACTTAGGTTATTGGTCATAATTTTTTTAGTTAGATAGTTAAAAATAACTTATAATTGATAAAATAATTAATATTTATTATTAAATGTATTAAAATTAATTTATAAATTAATATTTTAAAACACTATAACTAATCATTTTTTAAATAAAAATTATAAATATATAAAATATTAATTAAATTAAATAAATTTTAAATAATCTTAATAAAATAATAAATAACCATACCATATCTGAAAAAGATCCGAGAGACTAAACATTGAATCAAACCAAAAAAACACGGTACAGGAACATTTTGTCAACCCAGAAAGCTGCAAAAGCCCATGGTTTTTACCCCTACTGCCCGACATGTTCCATTTGGATCTAATTTATCGAATCTAAGAAGCTACAGTACTCATTTGCCTTGCACATGACACCACAGTGCAAGCATTTTCACAAGTTCTGCAGTGCTTCTACTGCTACTGTGATTGTACCCCTGCTTCCTGCAGTCTCGATTCCAATAAATTGAATGAAATATGTGGCACGAAGTGATCAATCTCCACGAAGCTAAAATTAGTATCACAAATTATATCACCCGAAATAGCTCACCAAGATGAAATTATGGGCCATGATACAGCCAAACATCCTAGTTGGGACAATTATATATGAAATATAGGGGTGCATTCTTCATATTACTTAAAAAAATATTAATTTTAAAATACATGTAAGTTAAAGGTAGGATGTACTCCAGCTCTTTCTGTGTCTCATGTCGTCGCCTTGATCTCCCTTGACGGCTAGAAAGCATGAATAGCTTTTAGATTTTCTCATTTCCTGACCTAACCGACACTGTAAATGGGTGACTAATCTCCCATTTCATTTGCCACGTACCTCCCGATGTCTCTACAACAAAGTTCTCAAATTCTTTACTCATTGCAGTTTGGTCCGTCCAAGGTAAAACTCTCAACTTACGTTTGACTGAAGAAAAACACCGTACTACTCTAGTTTATGCTATTTTACTACTCTCTTTTTACCCAAAAAAAAAAAGAGTGTACTACTACTTTACAAACTGATAAATCTCAACATGACACATAAGCCTTAAAGTTCAGACATAAACTTTTTTGACACGAGATTTTCAGTAGTTCTCGTGCCTCCCTTTTTACAGCTTGCAAAGACAAGCAATCATCGCTGGATATTGTCTGGATTTCACTCATTTCAGGTGCAGGATGATTAAACATATCCTAGATTTCCCAACTACTCGCAAATTAGTAGGAAAAAAAAGAAAAAAAAGAAGAAGCGTAAATTAAGAAAGACAAGGAGTGGAATAAACAAAGAAGCCCTTCACTTTCTGCGTCCCTTGCTTTTAGAAAACTAACTTCCTACATGGCGCGGGGGTTTTATTAAATTTCCCAACAAAGGCAGCGAGATCTTGGATGGTTTCGCCGATCAGGTCTTTGAATATTAGCCGTTCAACGTCGAGAACGGCTTGCGACATCTCCACTGGACAGTCACCCCATCCATCAATGGCATCCCCTGCCAAGTCCTTCTTGAGGACGCCGCAGATAACCTCAAACAAATTCTCTGATCTGTCCCTCTCCCGGATTTTCTGAAATTCAGACCAAACTTGTTGCAATGAGGTCTGCCCGCCACTTGAGTTTGTCCAAGAAATAACCTTCCATGGCGGTAATTGTCCCTTGCGGTTGAGAATTTCATTAATGGTGTCGAAAATTAACCTCCGTTGTAGACTTGAGACTTTGGATGTGCCCTTTCCTTTGAGGTATTGCTGATTCTCTAGAAGTAGAAACACATCAGAATCCTCAGGGAAAAAATTGGATGCTCTTAGGACATCAGAAATGTAGAGGAAATCACAATCGTCGGATTTTGATTCCACCGATGAGATTGCAGGACTCCACAAATCATCTTCAGATTCAACAAATTGCTCTGGTAATTAATTTCACAAAAAAGAATTAAAATAAAATAAATCAGAACCCATATGAAAAAAAAAAGAAGAAAGCAAAACCGAGAAAAACCCAACAAAATGTTTCACATTTTAGCACCAACAAAAATTGATGCGGTTCATGATGGCAACGAAGGCAGCTGATGCATATGAAAAAAGAGACCAAACCAAAGTCCGCTGTGATAGGGCCAAAAGGTTTAGCAGTGGTGGACCAATCTAGACTAACCAAAGGGAGCATGGAGGGCGCTCTAAAAGTGTTACTACGTACAGATACAAACGGCCACCTGTCAGGAAAGATCAGGGAGGGACTAGGGAGGTTATTTCTTGCTCACATCAGGTAATCTTTGCAGTGAAGCACAGGAATGAGTCACTTTCCCCATTTATGTCCGTTATCGATTACAGTAGCGGTTCATTAAACAACGGCCTTGGAAACACAACCTACCAGTCCGGATGTTAGGTGTTCTGTTCAAAAGTTGAATACGGTATAAAATAGTTGCATGTCTTTTCATTTAAATGTTGTAGAATTAAAAAATAAAAATTACTAAAAAAATAACCCATAATAATAAATATATAAAAATTAAAACTTCTTCAAATTTAAAATATTCATCACAATCATTTGTGAGTAAATAATTACGTGATAGACGTTTTAAGTAAAAACATCATATTTTTTTGGGACTCTCTAATAACAATATTAAGAAGTCTACCATTAACCTAATAATTTAAGCTAACAGAACAGAGGTTTTTTTATTTTTTCCACGGTTAAGCGTCAAACCCCAACTAAATTGCCGGACTGACCTTAGGTTCTTATCTCCGGCTAACCCATATTAATAAACAAAGCCGGATTAAACGAGTAATGGGTTTTGAATAGGACAATTTGACCAGAATTATTCAGTGGCTGCAGTGCAGACTGCAGAGGACCAACGGGCCTATCCCTAGAAACAGAGCGACCGGGAGGTAAAGACTAGAGACGTCACCATACTCGAATGGAAAAATCTATAGCGAATGAATCTCTTTGTAGACTAACAGTAAGCAGAGGTGTCAGATGGGTTTTGGATTTTTACCTTTGAAATCAATGCTCCGTTTCATAATCGGTGACGGCGACTCCTCCTTGTAAAACGACGAGTCAAGCACAGAAACTGGACTCGGCTGAGAATCGATGGTAGTGATCTCTGCTATGCTGCTCAGAAGCTTATCACACCTTTCCAGAAGATTCCTCCCTTCTCTGCATTCCCCCACCTTTGATCTCTGCAGAAATTAAATGCATTGTAGATTAATTCACCTGCTGAAAATTTAATTCAACTTCAGATTAATTAATGGAAGGGCAATAGGCAATCAATCTCCTACCTCTGTATCAGTTGGGGAAGACGTGCTTATAGTACTGCCGGAGACGGTGGACAATTCATCTTCCGCCGTGGCGAAGACTCTCTCCTCCTTCTGATTAGTCTCTACCGTTGGTTTCTTGTTAATCCGTGACCTATTCGTGAGTTGATCCGATCCAGTTCTCCTCAGGGGAACCTTGGGGGAATGAACTGGAGAGACTCTTCTCTGCTCCACTGAGTCATTTCCTGTCCTCCTTGTTTCTACAGTCAATGGCCTTCTGCTAGGACTCTTCAAGCTACTCTCACTCCTTGCTGGCGAAATCGCATTCCGACCAGCACCTTCGTTACTTGCATTCCGGACATTCCTCAGGCGGACCAGCGGTAATGACTCGCCTGAGTTGTCACAGCTCCGGCCAGGTCCTGTTCTCGGTCTATAGCTGGTGGTAGGTGAATCGTTACCAATCCTTCGAGGTCCAACCGGTGATCTTGCTGGCACTATTGGAGATTCTTGATGATTGAAAATCCGGTCACAGACAAAATTTCTGCTGTCCGACTGCTTCTTGGAATGCAGAAGGCCTTTGAGTTGCAGAGCTTCGAGGACTTGCTTGAGAGTCTCGAGATCCTTTAGCGGTTCGTCAATTCCTCTCAGTTTGAGCCGCTTCTCAATCTCGCTGTATATAGACACCGTCTGCTTCGGCTCCGGAAAGAAATCCGCTGAATCGTAGAAGCATTTCCGTTGGCCGATGCCTCTGTACGGTGCTTTTGCCGGTTCGCCTCTTGCATTTCTTGTAATGTACTCTTTCGAATCGCCTGATCTACAGTTGGTTGCTTGACCTTGTTTGTTTCCACTTTCTCTGATCACATTGCTGGAAATGTGGCCCTGAAAATTGGTCTGCTGGTTCGGTTTAAGCTGGAAATTGACTCCGTCGATGAATCGACAGTGAAATATATCTCTGGAGACTCTCGACTCCGATGAGGATCTTCGCAGCTCCACTGTCTTGACCGGCTCCGGATCAGAATCCGCCAACGGTTCGAGTCCCATCAACCTCGCGATTACGCCAGGGGACCGTCGTTGCTTGTCGCCATCATCGACTCCGTCCACAGTATTCTCTCGGTTGGCCGATAAAATCGCCGCATTCGTCCGGATCTCTCGCGGTTTAAGGCTCCCCTTGGCATCAACTATGGCTCTGCTGTCCAGTGAAAGCCTTGGAGATTCTCTCGAAAACTTCCACGACGACCTTGTCCCTTCTTTCAATTCAAAAATAGGAAGACGAAGAGGACTCTTGGCTGGAATGTCCGCCGGAGTTGACAATCCCGGCAATGGTGATCGGAGCTCCGGAACCGGCGATTGCTTGAATCGTTCCGGAGATGGAGTTGACCGACCTTGTGGCTGCTTCTCCAATTCCCTCGACATCACCGGCAGACCAACATTCTTCTGTGACTCCAGAGTCGATTCAACAACCTAAAAAATTTCAATACAATATACTCTTAAAATCCAAATAAAAAAAAAATTCAATAGCTCAGAAAAAAAATCAATACTAATAGAATCTAACCGGAGTAGAGGAAAGGCGCTTGACGGAGTAGAGGCGTTTTCTGGAAACAATCTGGTGGCGATCAAAGATATGAAAGAATCCAGCCATGCAACCCATCTGCTTCCCAATCTGCTTCCCAATCTGCTTCTCCAGATTCTGATCCTGCATTATCCCCGTCGTCATTTTCTCGACAAGAAAAAACCCCTCCAGTTTTCCTTTTCACAGGAAAATCAGTTCCCCCTTCTCCCTCTCAAACTTCCATTTTCTTCACGTCACTGTGTGTGTGGGTTGATAGCCCCTCTCTCTTTCTGTGTGTAACTGCGGCGGCCCTGTATCAGCATCTCCCGCTTTTCTGGCCTTTAAAAAGGGTGGGCGAAGTCAAGAAGGAGCAGTGGTTAGTGGGGGCGTCAGGCAAAAGGACACGGTTTGCCCTTACCTTTTAAAAAAATAACAAAATTGCCAGAGTTTGGGGCAAATTTTGTTTTTCTCTCTTTTGAGCAGCAGTTTGGGGACCTATTAGGAAATAGCAATTCGGTCCTTCGTCCAATGAAAAAAATTGGGATCATTTTATTCTTATATGTTGATAAATTATATAATAAAAAATATTTTTAAAAATTCAAAGATTTTTAACTGGACTGTTGGGTTTATAATTACTTAAATACCAAATAAGGATCATATTGTAATTTGCAGTTTTACATTTTACTTTTTAAAATACTCATTTTATAATTATTAATAAAAATAAAAATCCCTTTAATATCAAGGGCCTACTTGCTTATGTGCCAACTTTATTACAAAAGTTATTAAATTGAAAAATAAGAAATAGTATCTACTTGTCATATTTTTTAAAAATTAAGAAAAAAATAATCTTAAAATCATGTCATTACAA